AAATAAACATGACAACTGCTTGGGTATGCTTGAAGCGTGGCCAAAAGTGGCTGACATACTAGCTCACAGCATGGTCGAATGACTGATATTCCAGTGACTGAATCTCTGAGTAGAGTCATGACCAAACATAGTACAAACAATGGCATTAGGAAAAGTAAGCAGTCCTGCTAATGCCCTGCATACAGCTAAAAGAACATATGTCATACCTACTATTTGAGAATGGGCTCTGGAAGAAAGTAAGAAGTCCTGACTTCTGTGGAATCTCAAAACTGCTTTTGGGAAGGAAATGGTTTTAGGGTGGTGGTGGTGGAGAAAGGTTTATCATAATGAATGGAAAAATATTGTGGGTTACAGCAAACTACTCATGAGACCTTCTCACCGAAGTTAATGCAATCAGGAAGCCAGTCTTTAGGGATGACTGGCAAAGACATCATGTTATTACCTATATTTCAAAGTGGCCCTATTGGCACTAAGAACTATTGGCACTAAGAGAGAGCAAATCTCTGAAGAAGACTGTCTGAAGAAGTGTGCTTGCACATGAAAGCTTATACCTTGAATAAAAATTTGTTGGGTCTTAAAGGTGCTAGTGGTCTTAAACTTTGTTCTGCTGCTTCAGACCAACATGCTACCTACCTGAATCTTTGAAGAACTGTTTAACTATAGGCCAGGAAAACAGAGAATGACCACCAAACTAGGATGAAAAACAAAGGCAACTGCTAGGTAGATAGATTCTAAAGAGATGAGAAATCAAGACTTTGGCAGTGCAAATGCCGAAGGTGCTCCAGGAATGAAAGCGTGTAACAGGCAAAAGGGTCCCAGTCATGGGATCTATTAAGAATGCAGAAAAGGCTCAATTTGGAAGAATAGTAATGGTGAGTAGATGGTCTCCTCACACGCAGAAGGACAGTTGTGAGGCGAGCTCTTGGAAGAGGCTATTCACTACACCATTAGGCTCACTGTAGGGATGTTTGGTATCCCAAAGGTGGTCCTTTGCCAGGAACTACATGACCAGGTAAGTGGCAGAAGGTAGCCTTGGTCAGTGTGCAGTTCTCCCACAATAAAATATTGCTAAGAATATCCCCTTAATTAAAACCCCGGGTGTACAGAAATATTTTGACCCAGCACTTGAAAGACAGCAACACAGATGCCAGGTGACTCTCAAGGTGAAAGGCTTTCCACAAGCAAGGTGCCATTACTGAAAAAAACCACCTCTGGTTGTCACCTACCTCCCATCGGAAAGCAGGGACACAGACCAGGTCTTATTAATCAAATCTTAACTGGAGGGGAGATGGTCCGTCAAGCACCCTGGCCCCAAGCCATTAGGGCTTAAAGGTAAAAAACAGCACTTCGTACTGTGCCCAAAACCAAATGGGCAGCTAGTGCAGATCTTTCAGCACTGGAGTGATAAGAGCCCTGTGTGCCACTCCTGACAATAGCCCGGCTACTGCATTTTGGACGAGCTGACATTTCTGGACCATTTTCAAAGGCAGCTCCACATGAAACATATTATAGTAATCTAACCTGGATGTAATCAGAGAATAGATCACTGTGGCCAGATCACACTTTTCAAGGAATGGCCGTAGCTGGCATATTAGACAACACTCATAAAAGGCACTAGGGGCCACAGAGAAGATCTCGGCTTCCTACTGTCAGCCAGGACCCAGCAGTACCCCCAAGCTATGAACTTGTTCCTTCAGGGGGAGTGGAACCCTCTCCAGGACCGGCTGACTGCTCAGTCTTTGAGCAACTTTGTCTTTGACCAACAGCTTCTCCATCTTGTCTCAACTGAACTTCAGTTTAGTGGCCTTCATCCATCCCATTACTGTCTCCAAGCACCCATTCAGGATTTCCACAGACCCACCTGACTCAGCTGTTAAGAAGTACAGCTGGGTGTATATTGTTTGCACCTTACTTCAAGTCCTGATTATCTTTCTCAGATGTTTCATGCAAACGTTAACCAGCATGGGGAGCAATGGAACCTTGCAGGACCCCATAGCATAAATGTCATATGGCAGAGCAGCAGTCTACCAGTACCACCTCCTGGTATAAGCCGCTCAACCCAGAGCGGAACCACCGAAGCATTGTAAACCCCCCCTCCCCCCGCAACCAGCCTCTCCAGAAGGATGCCATGGTTGATGTTATCAAAAGCCGCAGACAGTTCCATGAGGACCAAAGAGCACACTCCCGTCACTCTTCTGTTGAAGATAATCCATCAGAGAGACCAAGGCTTTTCTGTCCTGACTCCCGATTGAAATGAGTCTCAAGGCTTATAAACTGTAACTGGAGATACCAGGGATTGAAGCTGGGATTTTCTGTATCCAAAGAACGTTCTCCATTACTGAGTGTTATTCCTTACTGGAAACTCCAGTGAATTTAAGTGTAGATTCAAGTAACTGTTCATCAGACATTTCATCACCTCCCAAGAGTTGAATCCGGAAGGTACTGGGAAATCAACAACTACAAGGATCTCTTAATTTCTCCCCCAATGTTCATTGACAAATGCAACTGCATTTCAATCTAAAACACCTTAAAATCTGATGTTGAAAATGTAGAAATAGTTAACTATGTTTTATGAATTATATAATTCATTTTGCATCCTGTGCAGGGATGCTGAAGTGCTGAAGTAGACTAAGCGGAAAAGAGAGATTAGCTCTGCCAATTAGGGGGGAAAACACATGAAGTGGAAGCTTTGTTTGGTTTGGGATAAAAATCATAAAATCCCAAATGACAAAGAGATTGTGTTATAGGGAATAGATAGGCAAAGGAGGAAAGGAAACAAATGGGAAGACAGACTAGAGCACTGGTCCCAATTACAAGTCCATTGCACCTTTCTAGGATATTAAGTTATGACTAAATCTACTACAGGATTTTTTTGAATTTTAAATCAGCAAAGGAGTTCCAGAAACACCAAAATCCTAGGTAAATAGCTATTATTCCTATTTTATAGAGAGGAAACTGAGGCTGAGAGATAATGACTTATGCATGGCCAGTCAGTGAGACAATGGCTGAACCAGCATACTAATCCGTCAATTCACAGCCATTCCTAAGAAATTTCTGGCTTTTTCATCAGCAAGCAAACTGTGCACTGGTACAAAAGTAAAAAAGAGCTTAAGAAGTTGTATTCAATTGTTTACTGATTTTCAGTTTGCTGTAGTGGTTAAGTGCGTGGACTCTAATCTGGGAGAACCAGGTTTGATTCCCCACTCCTCCACTTGCAGCTGCTGGATGACCTTGGGCAAGCCATAGTTCTGTCAGAGCTGTCCTTGAAAGAGCAGTTTCTGTCAGAGCTCTCTCAGCCCCACCTACCTCACAGGGTGTTTGTTGTGGGGAGGAGAAGGGAAAGGAATTTGTAAGCCGCTCTGAGACTCCGAGTGAAGGGCGAGGTATAAATCCAGTCTCCTCTTTTCTTCTTCTTCTGCTAGAATTCTTGATGACTGAACAGTAGTTACACTGGGTTTTTTTTTATCATAGGTTTCTACTGGGGGAATCTAATTTGTATTTTTTTTACTTCTCTCCAAAATCCCCTTAATTTTATTAATTTTGCAGAAGTTTAAGCATTATTAATTAATCCTTTCTTCAGTACAATAGAAACAGTACAATAGAAAAAGGCTGATACATGCTGAATATTGCAGCCTTTTGTTTACATCACACCCGTCTGGGCACTTTTTTACTTGAATTGCAACAGAGCTATGTGCCAAGTGGCTTTGAATCTTAGGCTTGCAGAGAAGACAAGGCACAAATTATCCTCTTCCTGTTATCCCAATTAAAATTTGCAGGTGCAACACAACTGTAATCAGGAACTTTGGAGAGATACAGTGTGCACTAGAGACCAGCCTTACTAAATATTTCCCAAACAACCGTTTCTCTTCTATCATAGAGCTCTTGAGCTTTTCCAAATGCAAGCACCAGATAATACCTGACTGTCAACATAAGGCCCCATCAAACAACAACAAAGTGAGAAACTTATTAAAACTAACCATAAATACAAGGATCATCTTAATAACCCAGTTTCTCAATCCATTACTAAATATAAAACAGGGCATGTTGTGTTAGCAGGATGCTGAAGCAGATGTGTTTACATATCACAGGTACACTGTACTCAAGATCAAGAAACTAACTCCCAAAGAAAAACAAAGAAAATCAACCCACTTGTTAGTTGAATCTGCAAAAAAATCTTTCTTCATGTCAAAAATTAAAAGCTGGATAGACCCTTTGCATCACAACATCTATAAAACTGAGCAGTTTTTCACTTAGGGCTCAGTCCCAAGGTGGAGACCAAAAGAGGAAAACCTATGGGTTATAGAAAGAGGTTATATTAATTAATATATTAATTCTGCAGTTGTAACAATCCCTGACCTCTAGCATATGGGACAAGCAGTCCCTTCATTTTTGTCCAGCCCACAGGCTAGCTTCTGGACATGTGTACTAAGGTGGAGTCTGCAGTACTGTAAGGCAAGGTTAAGTATGTTGTCAAGACACAAGCAACTTATGCTGATCCCCACCACAGAGTTTTCAAGGCAAGAGAAACACAGATTGTCATCGCCTTCCGCTGTGTAGCAATCCTAGACTCCCTTGGTGGCCTCCCATCCAAGTACTGACTATGGCCAACCCAGCCTAGCTGCTGAGCTCTGACAAGACCGAGCTGGCCAGGGCTACATAGTAGGCCCACTGAAAGATATATCAAACGGAATTGTACAGTAGACTAATTATAACATGGTGTTCAAAATAAATGGCTGTGAAAGCAACGAGAATTTCACATTCCTTCAATCAAGGAATTTAACAGTTGTTACACTTCACACACCAAAAAGTATAGAATGAAACAGGCTCCATTTGTTTATAATTTTTTTCTGGAGCCAAGGAATACTTCGCAGCATGGGAAAACAAAAGTACACCTGGCTGGGAATTTAGCTTTCATGACATGCAAAACTGATTAAGCAGTAAATGCTTTTGCTGAAAGCCATTCATAACCCTTGCAGGATGCAAGCTGTGTCACAGTCAGTTACAGTTTCTTTATTAACTGGAAATGGGACAAAGGATTGCAAAAGAAAACAAATACTGTCAAGCAATAGTGTACACAGATTGTTCTACTTGCACCGTAAAACATAGAACCAAGTCACAGGAAAAGATCAATTACTCTATAGGAAGTGTCATCCAATACAGATCAATGGAAAAGTAGGAAATGCCTACAGAAATAAAAGGCAAACAGAGTCAAAAAGGACCACGGGAAAACCTGAATTGTCATGATCCCACACAAGCAAAATAAAGTTAGGCCAATTTCTTTGAAACATCGACCTAAAAAGGACACCAGAAAAAATGCACAGAGCCTCTTGCTTCTGTGGCTTCTATCCTTTGCACTGTACTTGCCTCAACAGCTAAATGAAACTGATTTGTCTGTTTACCATTAATTACCAAGATTTGCAGTGAAGAGCATTCCATGAACAATCTAGGCACACACCCACCACACATTTGAACTGTGCTTGTGTTTGTGATGTATCAGAGAGAAGAGACAATGGAATGGATCCTATCACTCAGGTAAATGCAGAGCATTCCTGTGGAAGAAAAGCTTTTCTGCTGGGGGAAGACTCTGCATTTAGCTTAGGAAAGCAGTAAGATCCAACCCAATATGAAATGTTTGAGAAACGTTACCTGCTACATGGGGGGAAAGGTCTGAGCCAAACTCTGCTGTGATTAAATGGAAGCCCACTCTTTCACTAAGTGTAATTCAGAGAATAATCTAAGATACTGATTTCAGAGCCCAATATTGTCCTGTATTTGTGAATTTTCTTATTTGTATCTGTTAACTTAATAAATATTAACCAGAAAGCAATGGCAGGTAGATGTAAAATAGCATTGCTCATATCTGCATAGTCAAAGTCAACAAAGTCCCATAAACATCAAGAGGAGGTGTGTTGAGCTGTCAAAAGTCCATGGTATGATTTCAATGAACATCTCATTTTAGGCAATTCTTCACAGCTGTCACAACATCTTGCAACACGCTGTCTCTGTTCTCCCTTGTAATCTAAAAATCAGAAGAATAAGTATCAGCACAAAAAGAGTTTAGATTACTCGTGGTTGTCATTTATCACAATAGCGGTTAATGTGCAATGCTCAAGGATTTTACACAGTTGTCAGGCAACATAACTTTTAAGATACTCAATGGGTTTTTAATTGCTCTTAATTGCTTAACAGAAAAAAGGTCAGATGTTCTGTTCACATTATTACAGATGTGAAAATATGCAAACATATCTAGTGGGTGTCACCAGAACAGCAAATATGAACGTATCAAATTCTCAACATGGCCAAATCGGTGGCTACTTAAATCCAGAGATTGGAGCTGTGAACAAACAAGGCAGATCTGTTTACAAATCTGAGAGAAGGCCCAGATTTGCAGAAAAATCTGAAATCTGAAACAAAAAACACATTGGGGGATAACAGAAATAACAATAACAGAAATACCACACGTAGCTTGAATAAATTAATGTCTTCAGTGGTTGCTGCTAGGCAACCATAACAGTATTACCAGCCTTCTGTCAGGGGGCAAGACCCTTTCTAGGGCTGTTCTGGCCTTTGAGGAGGGATTTATCAAGGGCAGGCCTGGTAGCAACCCCTTGGCAACTTGATACCACACAACTTGCATGATTCACTCAGGACTGGTTGCTTGCTACTGCTCAGTGGCAGCCACCCCCAAAAAACCAGTGTTATGTAGTGGATGGAGTTTCAGACTAGGATCTGGATGACTGAGGTTCAAATCCCCACTTTGCCACAGAAGCTCCCTGGATGACTTTGGGACAGTTACACATTCTCAGTCCATTCTATCTCGCAGGATTGTTATAAAGATAAAATGGAAAAGAATGATGTAAATTGCTTTGGGTCCCTATTGTGGGGAAAGAAGGGGTATAAATGAAGTAAATAAATAATAAATATAGCCAAAGATTTGGGGGGGGGCATATAAAAGGTAGATTGGTTGGTGTTTGGGAAGGAGAGAAAGACACAAGGAAAGTTGAGGATATAGGGGCCGCCAGGAGGGGGGAAAGAGGAAATAGTGAGAGGAGGGGGAGTGCAGCCAAGGACTACACATAAAATACTGTTTCTTCCAGTGGGGTGAAATAACCAAGAATGGCCAAGAAAAGCTCAACTTGCAAAATCAATCTGGAGATGGAGTCTCTGCTGTGCTTGGAAAAGTAAAAAGAAGGAGACAGAAAAAAGTGCAGCTATAAAAATCTATATTCTTTGATGCTTTCATCAAAATAAATTGACACAGATGAATCAAGAGCATCTTGGGCATTTACCTGCATTGATTTTGTGTCTGATATTTTAGAGTTCATGTGGCTTAACCTAAAGAGGACTTGACATGTTGTTACCAGATGCCAGAAACAAACAAATGTGAGGTGGAGCTCTTATGCACATAAACAAATGAAATTGTCTGGCACTACAAACAAACTTCAAGGAACAATGCAATGAAAGGTGGTAGACAGAGCTGAAACATTTCCAGATGCTTGGGCACTTGGGTTGTGCAAATCTCACATGGGCTCCAGAGAATTTGAAATAGTTTGAGGGGTTTGGTGGCAAATTAATATTGGCAAGAGAAATATTCTACATTTGTTTACATTTTGCTTTCCCCTCTCAATAACCCGTGCATTGTCAGGCTTATTAAAAGGCCAGTACTCAGTTTCAAAGGCTCTTATTAACAGAAAGGCTAAGAAGAAATTTTTAAGTAAAAAATCTTAGGTAACTCTGGTAATAATTTTTGTGAGTTTTGAAGAATCAGATGCTACTAATAATGGGGTACAAGACATGCAAGTATTTCTGGGTGATACACACTGAAATCCTAAACAGAGCTACACCCTTCTAAACTCAGTGATTTCAATGGATTTAGAAAGGTGCAACTATGCTTACGATTACATTGACATACTACTAGATGACTGGAACATATTATAGCTTAAGATACTTTCCATAAACACTCAAAGTGTGCACATTTTCTCCTTTACCACCATCTCTGACCTCCCAGGGCCCATCAGAAAACTGTCTTTTTAAGCTTATCTTTCTGTATGAAACTTTCCTCAAACACACCTGTGCCACATAGGCAGTACTCACAGCCCCTTCCCATTTCATTTCAGAATTGCATTGTTTTTTAAAAAGGGAGCATATATTTAAAACTTAATTATTCATTATAATACACCACTTAAAAGTGGAATTCTATGCTACAAGAAAGTCTAAGAAACCTGGCAACTGAACTTGAAGCTCTCCATCCTCTATGCTTTAAACTGTACTTGATCAAAAACGTTAGAAACACATAATTAACAAAAAACTACACTGTATTGTGCTTGTGACAGTAAAGCCTCTGACACGGATTGGCTGAGTGGGTTGTGATGGTAAAGAATGTTGTTCAAACTACTCAAGGAAGAAGCCTCCTAGAGCATTTGCAGGTCAGCTTGTTTGTATAAAGGAAAGGCTGTCAGATTGGCTGAGATTGAAACTCTCACAGTCTGAGGACTACGAAGAGGTTTCAGGATGTAGAGAAGCTACGGGACAGAAAGCCCACAGACAAGGGTGGCTGAAGCAAGCTTTCAGAGTGGGCCGTAAAAGGAAGTGGGACAAAGCAGGCATTCTGTGTGCCGAATTACAAGGGCTCAAGAACCAAATAGGCAGTAGAAACATGAAGCAAATAAGGGTATGGGAGAAAGTAAAGCTGGGTCTAAGTTTCACATTGAGTGTAGGGACAAGAAGGAAGAGGAAAGATTCAGAGAATTTGGGGCTCTGGTTCAAAACCAAGGATCAAGAAGCAGTGCATGGGGATGGGTGCTGTATTTCACAAACTGGTGAACTGCACAGCCAGTTCTTTAGCTGCACACTTCCAGTTTACACAAATGTATCTGGTTAAAACTAATGAGCAGCTGGCGCTGTTTAGTGTAGGTCTTTTATTTTACATCAGCAATTCAATTAATAATCTACTCAAGTGAACAGTTCTTCTCTATCTACTAAGACTGCAATTCAAACCATTTTTGTGCCAGAAGAGACTCAGAACTGAAAGCCCATGAGGGGAAAGGAAGATAAAAATATGATTAATTGCTTCCACAAACCTATTTAGAATATCACAAGAATGGCTTCATGAATTCCATATTTGTGGAAATAGCGCCACGACAAGAATTTCACAAAGCGTATCCATTCAACAGGGGCAATATATTCTATTTCCCATACTTCATTCCTAAATAAATTATGGCTGCAATTGTAGCAGTGCAAGGTTTTAGGCTGCTCTAATCTGCTGAGATTACCGGAAATTTGTGTTGTTGTTGTTCAGTCGCACAGTCGAGTCCGACTCTTCGCGACCCCATGGACCACATTTTCCGTCGTGCTCTGGAGTTTGCTTTATTTCATGTTCGTTGCATCTATGACACTTTCTAACCATCTCATCCTTTGCCGTCTCCTTCTTCTCTGACCTTCAATCTTTCCCAGCATCAGGGTCTTCTCCAGTGAGTGCTCCCTTCTCATTTGGTGGCCAAAGTATTTGAGCTTCAGCTTCAGTATCTAGCCTGCCAGGGAACAGTCAGGGTTGATTTCCTTTAGGATTCACTGCTTTGATCTTCTTGCTGTCCAGGGGACTCTCAAGAGTCTTCTTCAGCACCACAATTCAAAAGAATCTATTCTTCGGTGCTTGGCCGGAAATTTAGTCAATTACAATTATAAATTCTACCCAACAAAAACTGGATCAAAAGGCCAGTCTTGCACCCTTCTATGTAGCATCAGTGCAGTATAGACCAGACACAAGACTCTCAGCATAGGCGTATGAGGACACACCACCCACTTGTTTCCATAACTAGACCAGGCCTCAGCAACTGAGTCTGACAGAGTTCTTCTCCTCAAGCCTCTATAAGGAGGGTTTTGTAGTTGCCTCACACAGAGTGCCAGTTTGGATACTGCAACATAAACCCCTGCTTGCATCACAATAACTACAGAAATGGATAATGCTGCCAATGATGAGGACAGGATGAGACTACAGATGTTCTATAAAGCTCCCCCACCCCCCACCTAAAGGGATACAGTTGGGCTTTATGTGAATGAACCTTAGACTTGCAAACTGCTTCCATGCTCCAGTTCCCTTGCTTCCTTCCTAGTTTGCGCAAATCATGCTTTGCCCAGTTTAAATGCAACGGCAAACAACGCTCCACCAAAGAGGGATGAGGATAAGAACTTGCAAGGGGCAAGGGACATGTGAGCTCAAGGTTCTATCACAATATGTCAGCCATGAATTGGGGTTATGTCTGTGCTGGCTCTAAATCGTGACAGAAAGTAGTCATGAGAACTACTACATCAGACCCCTTGCAGTACTAAAAATGAAAACATCCTCAGTGGATTGTTAAGTGACTTACACTGAAGACCTTCACCTCCTTGCTATTTCTGATCTCTTCAACAAGCCCCAGAGGCTTTCCTTTAGGCACTGGAATCGTTCCAAGAATCACAGTTCCTGAGCCACTCAGAATTTGATGGACGGCTTGAATAAAGGACTGGCTGAAGAGCTCCATTTTACCAATCTCATCAATTACACAGACTTTTTTCACTCCACTGCTGTCAAGATCAGCCTAAGAAGAAAATATATAAAACATGATTTAAAAACCCAGCAAGACAGTTTACTAGGCTTATGGATGAGTGAAGTCATCATTATGTACAGAAAAAACTCCTCAACTTCAAAAGAACAATTTATCTGAAAAAAAGCTTTTCATATAGGAGGGGAAAGCTTCCTTTCTAAGTTATTTAAGAACATAAGAACATAAGAGGTGCCAATGTTGGATCAGGCCAAAGGCCCATCTAGTCCAACACTCTGTCACACAGTGGCCAAAAATACCAGGTGCCATCAGGAGGTCCACCAGTGGGGCCAGGATATTAGAAGCCCTCCCACTGTTGACCCCCCCCAAGCACCAAGAAGACAGAGCATCACTTGCCCCAGAGTCCCTATCTATACCTTGTGGCTAATAGCCACTGATGGACCTCTGCTCCATATGCTTATCTAATTCCCTTTTGAAGCCGTCCATGCTTGTAGCCGCCACCCCTTCCTGTGGCAGTGAATTCTAAGTGTTAATTTACCAGTTTAAAATCAAGAGAGATGCCATCCCATCCAATAAACAATGCTGAATGTACAAATCTCCCAGCAGAGGGTGCTCAATATAGCATTGGCTCCATGTTCTGTTCCTCTGAGCAACTGTACCTTGTTTTTAGTATCTACCTTGTTCTGTGTATCTCAAGAACCTACAATAAGAAGTTTTGATAGGCACTAAAAGAAAACAAGTAGACTTTGTGATAATTCTCTGAGACAGAGACTGAACTTTTTGCTGGATCTTTCCTGACACATCTTGAGATACTTCTCTTCTATTTACCACTAGCTTGCTACCCGTACTCCGCTACGGTATTTAGGTTCCGTAAATCCAGTTATAATACTGATGATGTGAAATCTGAAATGTGACATTTGTTGTAGGAATTCTATCAGAGAAGACTGTAGTGTAAGAAATGAAGTGAGACATACGTACTTTCCCCCCCCCCCTTTACTTTAGGACCTCTCTCTAGACCACATTGGTGGTTCTGCCCTCAGGTGCTAGGATCACTAGGCTGCTTGATGAGCTCACTCTGGAGCAGGCCACATAGAACTGTCCATTTAAGAAGCAGTTGTCTGTTAAGTCAACTCCTGCTACCTTCCACGAAAGTGATGGCCTCTCTACTTGTGTTCCTGGATTGTTTTGCTCATATGGAGACTGTGTTGTTCTGAGCACCTGAGGGTGATCTTGCTGGTACTTGGCCTATGCAGCTCAGTGCACTGCAGGAGTACTATGTGCAAATGTCTTTGCTACATTCCTAAGTTGCCTCCTCCTTGTAGCGTTGGCGTATCTGGCTCGACGTTTGCCAGGAGCTTTCTTGGGGGCAGTAAGAGGTGAGAGGTGTAAGGGGGAGTTGGTGTGAGGGAGTGGTGATGCGGTGGGCATTTCTTCAGGTTTATGAGGGAGGCATGCATCGAAATGGCTCCTAGAAATGTCCTTTACTATCTCCCCATAAACTTTAATACCCTGGCCCTGCTCCTATACCTGATAGACACCGGCCTGTTTGGTGTTGGGAGGGAATGTGTTTAAAGGCATCGGGGAGGCTGGGCCAGCAGCAGTGCTAAGGCAATCCTGCTGAGCAAACCTCCTCGGTGGCTGTAAGCATCCCAGCTCCTCTCCTACACCTGACAGGCAGCTGCCTGTCCAGTGTAGTATGGGGAGGGGGGAGGAGTATTAAAAGCCACTGTGGAGGCGGGGCCAGCAAGATCACTAAGGCGTTACTACTGGGGCGGGCTCCCTCGAGACTTTAGGCACCCTGCAACTGCAACAGGCAATCGCCTGTTAGGTGTAGGAGGTGGGGGGAGTGTGTTGGAAGCCATCCCACCTCCTCTCCTACACCTGACAGGCAGCTGCCTGTCCAGTGTAGGAGGGGGAGGAGTATTAGAAGCCACTGAGGAGGTGGGGCTGCACCTGACAGGTGTAGGAGGTGGGGGGAGTTTGTTGGAAGCCATCAGAGAGGCTGGGCCAGCAGCTTTGCTTCACCTCACAGGTGGTGGTTGTTGGCCACTCCTGATTTCCTCAACTGTCATTAGCTTTCTGCAGTCCCCTGTAACTGTTTTTTTTTACCCCAGAACACTGAGCTCTGCAGCTGACCAATCAGAGAGTGGGGGGTACAGGGAGGCAGCTGCCTGGCAGCCGCATAGGAATCAATGGGGGGAGCACATTTCCCCCCTTTTGACCCACTTAGGGGTCGAATTTCTAAAAATCCCTTCTTAGTGAGCACCTACGCCATGGTAGGAGTGCTCTCACCGAATTTGGTGTCTCTAGGTCCAGTGGTTTGGCCTGGGCACTGATTTTACGGTGAGGAGATTTTCTTTTATATATATAGATATACCTTCAAGTACAATGGGCGAATCTATCTGATTTTACTAAATGTTCCTGCAACGAGGGCATTACCAGATGTGCTACATGAGGACTGAACATATCAAACCACACTTAAAGGCAACACTCAGATAAATTTTATTGGAAACTACGAAGTATAACTAAACCATGGTTTATTCAAAGCAAAACTATAAACATAAATGCCTCCTGCTGTAAAATTTCTACAAGATTCTGTAATTCAGACTGCATTTTCTTCATCCTTTCTCTCAGAAGTTCCTTCAGGTCTTTAACAACCAACTCCATCCTGACTGACCAATCATTCTCATCATGTACTACATAAACCAATCAAATTCTGAATCTACCAACACCAATCCAACAGGAGTTTCATAACCCCGTTAAACAGTAACTGAATCCCCTCATTTCTGAAAGCCTCAACCCAAAACAAAGACACATATTTTATGCACACACGCACACAAACATGCAATATAAATCATTACAAAAAAATCAATACCACTTTTGTCACAGGCTTTGAGAATGGATACATTGTTTTTTGACTGGATTACAATGATTGATGCATTTACTTCTAGGTCCAATGCATAGTACGGGTTTGAGTCCATATAGTGCAACACTATACATGTTCCTTCAGAAGACAGTCTCACTGACTTCCAGAATTTAACCCCTAGTAAGGCGAATTAGCATTGCAGACTTACAGTGTTTGGAAACTGCCCTACTTCTCTCCATATGGCTTTGCTTCCTCTGAGATTTTCACAGGAAGAAATGCTTATTTATTTTGTTATAAAATATTTTAATCACGTGTTTCTCAGTTAGCTGAAGACTTCAGATTATACTAGGCTGTCTTCTCTCCTGAATTGTGTCATACATAATGTGTATTTTTGCCCTAAGAAAGAACACCTTCTCTGCTGAGTGAGCAACTTCTCAACAGAATTCATGCAGTCTCAGTATGCTCAGGATATATGAAATAAACACAGCCAAATTCAAGTCCAGTAGCACTTTATAGACCAATTTTCAGGGTGTAAGCTTTCAAGAGTCAAAGCTCCCTTCATCAGACCAACATGGTTACCCTCTGAAACTATGAAATAGTTACTGTTACCATTATCAAAGGAACTAGAAAAAAGCACTACTAAAACGTGAACCTGAAATATTTTATGTATACATCTAAATAACTCCTATGCATTTTGTATTTGCAAACTTGCAGAGAAGGTATTTGTTAAAAGAAATTTTGCCTGTCAAGAATTGATCCCAATAAACAGAAACATCATACACAGGCACGTTTAATTAATGCCTCAATTCTCAAAAAGCTTCCGAGATCTACCGAATTCTAGTTTTAGAAAATATTGTTTTGCTTCACAAAAAGATGGACGATCCCATAAGCAGGGAAGCAGGTGCAAATCACAGTGCTGCTGCTTGGTGGTCAAACAGAATTTTGACCAATAGAAATCTACTTCTGTAAAAGTCGAGAGGTACCTGGCTGCTGCTCCTTCCCCAAATGGAAGCAGATTGAGGGAAAGACGTTTTCAGCTGCAGAGCAGGACCGCCGGGTTGGGCTGACTGGCCACTTGGAACATCTTGGCCCATGGCATCCCCCCTCTTTGATCCCACCGCGATATACAATAGCGAGTGAGTATTTTACTTCCTAATGTATCCTGCAAGATGCGAGTTTTTGTTTTAATTGTTTTAACTTGTTCTATTTTTATTGCACTTGGTGCCTTAACTGTTCTAATCTTGTTGTATTTTATTGCACAGTTGTGCCCAGGGGTCATTTCGTAGAAAAAGAGCTAGGGGGACTCATTAGCATAACTCATTAGCATATGCCACACCCCCTGACATCACCGGAAGTGTGTCCTCCCCACAGCCGGCGGCGACCTCCAGCGGGCACCAGCAGGGAGCTCCAGGCCCCGCCCTCCCGCACCTCACCCGGGGGGATGGCGTCCCCCCGCGTCCCCCCCCCAAATGACCCCTGGTTGTGCCTATGTAAGCCGCCCTGAGCCCGCTTGCGGGGAGGGCGGGGTATAAGTGAAATAAAATAAATAAATAAAATAAGGCACAAGGTTGAATGTCTGACCTCTGACCTCCCTCCTTTTGACAGCCTAAGTGAGGATTGCTGGAGGAAAAGGTCTTCAGCTGGACTGGGTCTCGGCATGACAGAAGGATGCCTGGCTGCAGTCGTTTTTATTTATGGCAAATAATATTGATCTGCGGTTGACCTATGCTGTTTTATGCACTTAAGAGTTCACTGTTTAGTTGTGAAAATATATATTTTTTTACACTGAATTGTTAACTGCTTTCAAGACCTTCAATGCATTAAAAATGCAGCAACAGAAAGTTTTTAAACAATATTAGATAACATACAACATACAACGTACAGGCATGTCTGTCTACAAGATCTGCTTCCCAAATCCATAAATATTGAGGACTGGATCTTCTGCTAATTCTTCCATCAAGAGAGAAAGGGTTCTTCCTTCCTTTCTTGAAGGAAATCACAGGCTCCAACCCACAGTACAGTAACAACAGTTTCCCCCTAGTGACTGACAGTGCCATCCTGAAATGAGCTACATCCTTTTAAGTCCACTAAAGTCAACAGGCTTAGGATGGCACTGTATCCACAAAGGTTCACTCAAATACTTTCCTCCACCACCCCACATGAGGCAAAAGGCAAAGTGGCTCGTTTATATATTTCAACCGGTGTTTCACAGGGCCAAACTAGATGAGACAACATGCTCATGGCTGCCAAGAGGAAACTGTCACCATTTTGAAGTGATTTTAAATTGCCACAAGTACCCAATCCTGATCAGGCCCACACAGCAGCGCTCTTGCCCACCTCAGCCCCACATGCATTTTCAAGTGTCGACACAGCCATGGGATGTGGGGTTCGGCCATTTTAAAATGGTGATGGCATCCTCGTGGCAGCCATGAGGACACACACTATCACGTCCAGTTTGACCATCAGACTGGGGTCCACGAGGTCTGCAAGAGAACTCCAGAGAGTCTGCAAGTCCTTTCTAAAGACAGGAGTAAGCCTCTCCCTTGACTATCTGGCAATGTGAAAACAGAACCATCCTCCACGGCTTAGGGCAGGGCCATTCCAACTCAGGAGAAGGGGTGGAAACAGACTTCTCCTTTTCTGAAGTGTGGGAGCTGACAGAGCCGCAGTTGCCTGCAGCCATCTAGCTTATAGACCACCTTGGAGTACTAGTCAGAAAATGCACTGCTTGGCTGCTGGGATCCAGCACAGAAATGCATGGAATAAATGCAATCCAATAGCTCAGCACTAGGAATTGTAATTGGCTGAGCAGTACCAAGGCGGCACAATCCCAATACAGCCATCAGAATTACATTAGATAGAAAACTGAATTGGTTTTTCAATCACTTTTCCAATGTAAAGGATATCATAGAGTTAGAAAAACACCACTCTGGATCTATATCTATAGCCAACTGCAGTTTTTCATTAAATACGGAAGTTCAGGTTATGCGTGACACTGGTCTATTTCTATAAGCAGCTATGAAAGTTTTTTCCGGGAGCCCCCAACCCCCAACGGTATTAACCAATAAGGAAGTTTCCTTCTGTCTCTGGTGCAAAGTCTCTTCCAATCAAGGGGTGATTGATTAGGACTTCAGTTAGGACCTTTTGAATTTGTAACTCTATACAGAGTCAGCTACCCTCTGAGACCTGACATTGCAGGCCATTAATTGCTGTAGATTTTCTGGGTTGTGTGGCCGTGGTCTTGGCATTGTAGGACCTGACGTTTCACCATCAGCAGCTGTGACTGACATCCTCATACCTCTGATGGAGTACTCTCTGTGTACAACCTGGAAAATCTACAACTAATGAACTCCGGCAATGAAAGCCTTCGACAACATATTGCAGGCCATGTTTAAACAATACAAACATTTTACTTAAACTTGCTCTTAAAGTGTTCTCATGGAGGACACTGAGGGACAGAAACATCCACTGAGACATACCCTGGTTGCCACACATTTTGAAAAGTGGCTGTTTGCCACATAGCAGGTACCAGTGAGACAGAAAGGAGGACCTAGGGTGAGTCCAAGCAAATTTGTAAATAAAAATGGGGTCCTTCAGGTGATTAGAGAACTTCTGCTTTAAACCAAAGAGCCACTACATCACAAACAGCCCCTGAAAGAATGAAAAATCCTACATTTGTATTTCACTAACAACTTCAGATCACATTCTACTCACCAAGAACTCAAATAAGGTACTCACCTGTCTCAACAAAGGAAGAACCAATTGTTCAAATGAAGCTAGGTCTACTACATATTGGCCAACACGGTATTCATGCCTTGCCACTGAAGGGCTAGATCTAAAGGAAAAAAAGAAAACATTTAAAAATTAAACACTGCAAACAACAATGACAATGAACACTTCAGATATTTTTTCTCAACAAGGGGACACCAGTTCTCCAATTGGCTTGCAAAGCCCTTTCTTCTTTCCCTCTCTCTGCTAATACCACCATGCTTTTCTTTGCTGCTAATATCCCAGTACTTGTACAGTATTTTAATGAAATGTGATAGATTGGAGTGGGTTATTATCAGAACAGCAATGGACTGGTCAGTCAGGGCATGGGATTTACCAAAGTGCTCCTTTAACTGCTCTAGAAGGTTGCCATAATTTTAATTTTTTAATTTATAACATTTTAATGCCTCCATTCCACCCTATCAGGGTCAACAAGGCGGCATAATTAGGAAGACAGTGTTGATTTTCTAAGCACTTGGCCATATATAGTGAACAGTGACTGCTACTACTTCGACTTCTCATTTGATTGCATGCTCCAATATTTTGCTTGGTTACATGTTCTCATTACAAGGTAGTCATGGTTTTACCACTTCAGCTAACACCAACAGCCTTGGGAATTTCAGAGCACAATGGTCACAAAGGGGCATTTGCGCATTCCACCAAAAAGTTAGATTCCACAGTGTATCTTTGAAAACATCAGTACCCAATCCTAGACAAAACTCCTCTTCTTCCACTTAGAGTGACAACATCAAATCCTATTCTCCGGCCACCTTCTCTCACTTCTTCTGTGTAAAATCCATCAATAGGGACAACTGATGATTTTAAAACTTCAAGGGTTTTCTGGATCAATGTGGTTTTTCCAATTCCTGTAACAAAGAGAGACTTTGCTGTGCCACACTTTCACTAGCAATGAAATGTAAACTTTATAACAGCAAGGAAGGAAAAACATATTTTTAGTTTACATATATATATATATCTTAAAATACATGTTAAGATGCAATGTAGTACAATATCAAGGTCACCAAATGGTGCACCTGTGGTGGCCTGCAATGGACACTAGGCATAGAAGACTTTACCGTAAGACAAAGGCCTGTGACATTGCAAGTTTTCACAACCTCTCACGGCGGAGGTGCTCACAACATAAAGATCCTGATTCATCAGGCGTGTACTCCTATACATCACCATGGGGCTCATTTCCCATTTGGTTCAGTAGAGACTGAAAGGGCAACCTTTGCAAACAACAGGGATTCTTTGTACTTTAGACCTCTCAGACAAATAATGCATCGAGTTAATACATAAATATGCACTGATATTTTTGGGAAGCATTCTCAAATAACCATTTTCAAAGATCAGGTACCTTTATTAAAATGTAAGATCTGCTTAAGCATTTTGCAGACTGCTGAATTTAGGACTTTCCTGTAAGTGATGAATGAGGCCCATCATCTCAATTTCTACAACAGGTGGAAGCTATCCAATAAAAAGTGTTGCTTATTAATATAACCACCACTGCCCTCCCAGCTCCCATCCTGTCATCCTATATAATCATATTAACATCCACTGAAAAAATGGCTCTGTTTGGTTGGTTTATCACTTATACCCTCAGGAACCTAATTTATTCCTACAAAATAGGAGGACAATGATAATAGTCCCATAATTGTCCATTATTTAAATTGGACATGCTAAATCATTTTTAAAAATTAAGTCACACAATCTGAATGTTTAAGGGGGCTGCTGGTGCTTGCAGCTGTACTGATGAGGCAGTAGTTGTTTCAAAACCTGCGAGGATCCAAAAAGGAGGTCTGAGCCATGAGAACATTAAAAAAAAAACTTTAACAAAGCATACAAATAATATTTGGTGACATTTAAAATAAAAATGAAATTTACCTTGTCAGTTAATCAATTCCATACACCTGTCCTGAACAATAGAGTGATTATAATCCTATAACAGTACACCTTTATTTTTGGGGGCTATTTTTGGGCAGGAACGCACAGGAACGGAGTTGCGGCTGGCTTCCAAGCTCAGGGGGCGGGCACATGCAGCAAGCCCCGCCCCCTGCTCCAGCAGCTCTCAGTTGGGCCACGAGGAGCAAGAAGCAGGGAGGTAAGTTGCAGAGCCTCCCCCTTTCTTGGCCCGCACTGAGGCGTAGGGCCCGGGAAGGCTTGCAGAACCCCCCCCCCACCTTTCCTGGTCCCCCGCCTTTCCTGGGGTGTGGCCTAATATGCCAATGAGTTCCTGCTGGGCTTTTTCTACAAAAAAAGCCCTGAGTAGCTGAAGTGAACTGACACATGTAGCCTGATCCTCTGTACGCTCACTCAGAAGCCAGTCTTAGTGAGTCCAGTGAGACTCCCATGTACTGTACACGTATATAGAACTGTAGAACCTATTGTTATCAGGCTTGCTCAGATCTTGCAAACTAACCCTGCTTGTATGTGTGTGCATTTAAGGTCATCAAGTTGCTTCCGATTTATGGAGACATTATGAATTAATGTCCTATAGATATCAATCCACCTCATGTTGGGTCTTCCTCTATTTCTGCTGCCTTCATCTTTTCCTAGCATTATTGTCTTTTCCACTGACTGTTGTCTTCTCATAATGTGACCAAAGTAGGATAGTTGCAGTTTAGTTATTTTAGCTACTAAGGAGTGTTATCCAAACAATTACTGGTAAGTCCCACTGGCCGCCATGAGGCTTACATCTGAGGAAACAAGCATAGGCTTGGCTTGTAAATTAGTTCAGTCATATGCTTGGAATGGCAGACTTCACTTATTTTGGAATAAAGATTTTAAAGGTGTACAGTTTGTAGCTAAACAGAAATCCATGGTGGGTGGGGTGTTTGAATATGGACTGACAATTTGTTCTGATCATCTTTACTAGGGATGCCAGCCTCCACGTGAGAGCTGGGGATCTTCCAGAATGACAGCTCATCTCCAGACTGCAGAGTTCAGTTCCTCTTTGGAGGGTGGCCTCTATGACTAGGGCTATGGGTTGGGAAATACCTGGAGATTTGGGGTGCGGTGGAGCCTGGGGTGGGCCGGGTTATGGGAGCCGAGGGGCTTCAGCAGG